CTGAAGCGATCTGCACGAAATTTAGCACAATCATAGTAATCAACCATGGGAAGGTATAAATCTGAAATGGTACAAATCAGACCACAGGGCTTTTCCTAATTAATTTAAACTTTTAGAAATTTAACATGGGCCTTATGGGTTAATTAGTTGCCATGACATTATTTGCGAGATAACAATGAAAAGGTAAACAAGAGTCAAACGTATGTTAGTCAACGAATCATCTAAATAGCACATTACAGATACCGTTCAGAGAAAAAGGAAATAACAATCGGATTAATATAATTGAGCATAATTTACTACAAAATGAATAACCTAGGGTCACCGGAATTAGGCTGATGCACCATTGACTTTAAATACTCCAAATAACCATTATATTTATGTGAACCAAATATAGGCCATGAGTTTGATACTGGAAGTAGACTTTCCATTTATTTGAACTTCACGTACTATTAATGCAGACTTGAATATGCAGGCCTACTGCGAATACTCGTAGGAACTCCATCAATGTGAACCAAAGATAAACCATAGAGTTTAAATAAGGCAAGTAGACATTCCATTGACATAAAGCAGACGTACCATTGACTTTGGATACTGCAAATATGCATGAGTAAATCAAATGAACCATTGACTTTGGATACTGCAAATAGGCATGTGTGAATCAAATGAACCATTGAATTTGGATACTGCAAGTAAAAAAGTTCATTTACGTAAACCAATTGTGCCATTGAGTTTGGTACTGCAAGTAGACAATTCTTTAAAGTGAACCTGGCGTACCATTGACTTTGGATACTGCAAATATGCATTCCATTTATGTGAACTAAATATACCATTGACATTGGATACTGTAAGTAGACATTTAATTTATGAGAACCAGATTTATAATTGACTTTGGATACTGCAAATAGGCATTCTATTTATGTGAACCGTTATATATTATTGACATTGGCTACTGCAAGGATATATCTCATATTTACGAGAAACAGGTGTAGCTTTGACTTTAGAAAAGTATTGAAGTAATATGCTAGCTCCGCTCAACATTGCAAGCAGACAACTGCATTGCACACATAGTATGGATTAATATCTAAATCATAGACAACCCTTTTAGAGATTTGACGGCTTTGTTTATAAAGTATACATGGATTCAGAAATATATACTTAGCCTTTAACTTTTGTGTTAATTAATGTTACCAAAGTGTAATTTAACTTCAAAACTACTGAAACGTAATATATACTAGGAATTTCGTTAAAGAATTGTATGTACATCTTTCAATAATACTTTATTTCTTAAATACATTCAATTTAATACACATAAAAAATATTTAACACTACATTGTAAGCTCAATTTAACTGTACATTATCAATATACTTAAAATATTATCACATTTATTAAGATATGTTGAGTTAAAAACTGTGTTTTGTGATTGCAAAATATACTTAACATAAAAAATGTATAGTAAAAATTAACTGTAAACACCAAAAAATGTTGTTGCACATTCATTTAAATGAAAACTGTTAAGAGAACACTTATACAAATTGCAGAGGGTATTAATTAATCCATCATTGTATGTACATGGTTTGACACATTATCTATAGATAATGTATTATACAACAGGTATATTTTTAACCTCTGTAAACTAAATAAAATCTTACTACACCCCAACACTATTGTAATCAATCGCCACTTAAATTCATCCATTTGTTATTTACCAAAAACGCCAAACCTAAAATATAGGTTTACAATAACCTATATTGTAAGAGTATGGACTAAAACAAACCAAACCGTTTAGAGTTAGAGTATAGAAAAGTTGTGCACCAACTTCATAATATTGCCTACCTAAAAGTTGTAAAGTTTGGGGTAAAAAACTATATAATATTTTATGATTGTTGATATGTAATTCTCACATTGAGCAACAGTTTGTGATGATATGTTCGTGATACATAGTTCAAAGCTTAGACTAGATTCCTCAAAAATAATATAGTAACTAAAAACCGTTGACTTAGGATGCTTTAACTAGACTTCTCATCCCGTTGTGGAGCTTGGTTAATATATATTTCATGTCCAGTTACAATCCAGTGCGCTCATGACAAGATAATCATTTTCGTATTTTTAGGAGTAACATTTACATTATTCGCTTTGCTCTTTTGATGCTATTCGTAAATACAAGCATAATCTTATAAAAATATGGTTAAAATACACATACAATAGTTAAACTATTTATAAAGGTTCTGGAAGTATGAGAAACAAAATGTAAAGCATCTAATCGAACTCCAAATGTAACAGGCAGAATCACACCTTCATTTTCTTTAGATGATCCACTAGGATGACAAATCCAAAAGGAAGTATCATTAATTATGTTTATGATAAAACTTAATTGAATGAAAACATGTATACCCTCAAGATCGAACTTATCATAATAATTATTTTTTGAGACTAACAAGAAAACTAATTTTAAAATACACATATATATTACAAAATAATATAATGTTAAATATAATAATTAATTAGTTATCTGTTTATTTAAGATGCAAGTGATATGGTATTAACCGAAAGTTAATGTTACGGAAAAACATTTGGAAAATTATTGCCCTTTAGTAAGTACAGAACATAAAATATTAGCACTGTTTTTACATATACTATAGGCGTTAGTTAGGCCTATTTCGAAAAATATATACATCATTATAAAACATTTTTGTGGATTTACATTTTTCAATTGACAGAGAGGAAAGATTTGCCCTTAAACACTAAATGATATGCATAGATACGGAGCTTTCAGACTTCGATACTGTTTCCTAACGTAAAAATGTAACCGTTTTTACAAAACATTTGTGAATTCCACCAAAAAACCTTAACACGTAATTATTAATGATTTTAACACTTATAATACAACGAAGAAAACTCTCAAATAACAACAACATGCTATACAGATAAAAATTTAAGATTTTATTATAAAATAAACCAGTGACTGTGTAAGCTGTACACAGTTTATCCAGACATATAGTAACATGAATTAATAATGATTGGTGAACTGTATGTATTGAATGAATTGAAATCGTTGTTTCAATTACATTTCTTAAACATTTTAATAAATAACATCTTGATATTTTTTACAGGATATATATGGAATAATATAGTATTGACCACGAGTGAAATAAATAAACTGTTTTGTTTATGCACATTGCACACATCAATTTGAACACAACTTCTCGTTAAAGCCCATTTAAGAAGTAAAACATTCATAAGATTAAACAGTAACACACAAACCAATCAAACGATCAGTAAAGATAAGTCAAACCCTGAAAGCACCATAAATGGTATGTACATGTATGTACGCAGGTTCTGATAGCTTCAATGAGCTAACCAGGCTGCTGCTATGAGCAGAAGAAGTATGTTACTGACGCTGCTTCTCAGGTCTTTAGTACTGCTGATCTTCTGCTCCATTGTTGATGCTTTCTGCTGTATCAGCACAACGTCAACTGTCAACAAATTTATCAGTTTTTTTTATTTGACAGCCCTAAAATTCTTAAGATTTTACCTACGTCTGTTTTTTTACTAGCCGTTTCAGATATGTTCTTAGAATTGAAAAGATCCTCTTAACAGCATAGTTTTACGTAACAACAAGAGGAACAGACCAACGAGATTCAACGGTTGGGAGAAAAAAAGTAAAATTGTAACGCTTCCAACTTTAACTAATCAGTTGTTAAGACCAATTTAACTGTGGATGAGTGGTGCAATTAGTGGTGGGTACAAAGAGTAGTTGTATCATTGTCAATGATACAAGAGGTCATAAACGAAATCGGAAAACATAACCTCTATTACATAACACTCTCCAAGGCTCGTACCTTAAATTTATACTCGATTACTGACCGCACTACTTGAAAAGCGGCCAGTCAATTTCCAATTATTGTAAATGTATGTAATAAGTTTGTTCTCAATGGAAATAAATTCATTTATTCATTTATTCGTTAGAACTATCTTTACACGATCGTTGCGTAAACTGCTATAGAGCTGCACAATGACTTGAAACAGTATAATAAATTAAGGATTCAAAAGACAAGTTTCTTTGAACCAACCTGGAATTTTGGTACTTACATCTCAAACGCATATGGATTATCTATTAGTATGAGCTCTTATATCCTGTATTATAATTCTCTGTGGATGCAATTTTCTCTTTTACCTACCCATTGAATTAATTATGTGAACTTCTATAAACTATTTCAATTTCTATTAACATTGATCAAGATATACTAAACTAATAGCTTAGGCCTACTTGATTCCAAAAATAAGTTATGTATACATTTTTACAAAACAGGCAGCTTTGAGACAATACTGCTCACATCAGCTGTACATATACCAATTGTGGTACAAAAAGCATGTGTAAATTAAATACGTGCCAAAAATTAAAGTATGTTCGTTAAAATGCCCGGAGCAGAGTTTAGGTATCATTGAATTTTCATTGAACATGGACGTGAGTTTGAGTTAAAGTCGTGCCCGAGTTGTGTTATGTGGTTTGGCGAAACTCCAATCAGCGTTCAATCTGATTGTGTCCCAAACATCAGTGATTAACTTCAACCTCTGAAACCGAACATGAGATCTACCAGACCACAGGGATTATTTAAGCAGTAAAAACGCCATAAATGATGTATTAACTAATGTTTTCCTGGCAATTAATTGATTTTCCTGTTATTAAAAATTAATACATATGAGCATTGACTATATAAGTGAGTGAGGTCGATACCTTCATCTATACTTGACTTCGAGGTACTTGTTTGAGTATATCTCCTAACCCTAATATTGAATTAGATTACTATTTATAAACTATATTACGTTCTGATTTGCTTCAATGTCTAGATACATAGGAATTAATGTAGTTTATGAACTTTGACATCCACTTACCTTTGACTGACTGCGCCTTGTGGTCGGCGTACTCGCTCTGATGGACCTCGTTGCCCAGATACTTGGGTATGAATATAGTTGATTAATTACCTCTACTGTGTTATATTCACTTACCTTTGACTGACTGCGCCTTGTGGTCGGCGTGCTCGCTCTGATGGACCTCGTTGCCCAGATACTTGGGTATGAATATCGTTGATTAATTACCTCTACTGTGTTATATTCACTTACCTTTGACTGACTGCGCCTTGTGGTCGGCGTGCTCGCTCTGATGGACCTCGTTGCCCAGATACTTGGGTATGAATATCGTTGATTAATTACCTCTACTGTGTTATATTCACTTACCTTTGACTGACTGCGCCTTGTGGTCGGCGTGCTCGCTCTGATGGACCTCGTTGCCCAGATACTTGGGTATGAATATCGTTGATTAATTACCTCTACTGTGTTATATTCACTTACCTTTGACTGACTGCGCCTTGTGGTCGGCGTGCTCGCTCTGATGGACCTCGTTGCCCAGATACTTGGGTATGAATATCGTTGATTAATTACCTCTACTGTGTTATATTCACTTACCTTTGACTGACTGCGCCTTGTGGTCGGCGTGCTCGCTCTGATGGACCTCGTTGCCCAGATACTTGGGTATGAATATCGTTGATTAATTACCTCTACTGTGTTATATTCACTTACCTTTGACTGACTGCGCCTTGTGGTCGGCGTGCTCGCTCTGATGGACCTCGTTGCCCAGATACTTGGGTATGAATATAGTTGATTAATTACCTCTGTGTGTTATATTCACTTACCTTTGACTGACTGCGCCTTGTGGTCGGCGTGCTCGCTCTGATGGACCTCGTTGCCCAGATACTTGGGTATGAATATCGTTGATTAATTACCTCTACTGTGTTATATTCACTTACCTTTGACTGACTGCGCCTTGTGGTCGGCGTATTCAATCTGATGGACCTCGTTGCCCAGATACTTGGGTATGAATATAGTTGATTAATTACCTCTACTGTGTTATATTCACTTACCTTTGACTGACTGCGCCTTGTGGTCGGCGTACTCACTCCGATGGACCTCGTTGCCCAGATACTTGGATATGAATATAGTTGATGAATTACCTCTACTGTGTTATATTCACTTACCTTTGACTGACTGCGCCTTGTGGTCGGCGTACTCACTCCGATGGACCTCGTTGCCCAGATACTTGGATATGAATATAGTTGATGAATTACCTCTACTGTGTTATATTCACTTACCTTTGACTGGCTGCGCCTTGTGGTCGGCGTACTCACTCCGATGGACCTCGTTGCCCAGATACTTGGATATGAATATAGTTGATTAATTACCTCTACTGTGTTATATTCACTTACCTTTGACTGACTGCGCCTTGTGGTCGGCGTGCTCGCTCTGATGGACCTCGTTGCCCAGATACTTGGGTATGAATATCGTTGATTAATTACCTCTACTGTGTTATATTCACTTACCTTTGACTGACTGCGCCTTGTGGTCGGCGTATTCAATCTGATGGACCTCGTTGCCCAGATACTTGGGTATGAATATAGTTGATTAATTACCTCTACTGTGTTATATTCACTTACCTTTGACTGACTGTGCCTTGTGGTCGGCGTACTCACTCCGATGGACCTCGTTGCCCAGATACTTGGGTATGAATATAGTTGATGAATTACCTCTACTGTGTTATATTCACTTACCTTTGACTGACTGTGCCTTGTGGTCGGCGTACTCACTCCGATGGACCTCGTTGCCCAGATACTTGGATATGAATATAGTTGATGAATTACCTCTGTGTGTTATATTCACTTACCTTTGACTGACTGTGCCTTGTGGTCGGCGTACTCGCTCTGATGGACCTCGTTGCCCAGATACTTGGGTATGAATATAGTTGATTAATTACCTCTACTGTGTTATATTCACTTACCTTTGACTGACTGCGCCTTGTGGTCGGCGTACTCGCTCTGATGGACCTCGTTGCCCAGATACTTGGGTATAAATATAGTTGATGAATTACCTCTACTGTGTTATATCCACTTACCCTTGACTGACTGCGCCTTGTGGTCGGCGTACTCGCTCTGATGGACCTCGTTGCCCAGATACTTGGGTATGAATATAGTTGATGAATTACCTCTACTGTGTTATATTCACTTACCTTTGACTGACTGCGCCTTGTGGTCGGCGTACTCACTCTGATGGACCTCGTTGCCCAGATACTTGGGTATGAATATAGTTGATGAATTACCTCTACTGTGTTATATTCACTTACCTTTGACTGACTGCGCCTTGTGGTCGGCGTACTCACTCTGATGGACCTCGTTGCCCAGATACTTGGGTATGAATATAGTTGATGAATTACCTCTACTGTGTTATATTCACTTACCTTTGACTGACTGCGCCTTGTGGTCGGCGTACTCACTCTGATGGACCTCGTTGCCCAGATACTTGGGTATGAATATAGTTGATGAATTACCTCTACTGTGTTATATTCACTTACCTTTGACTGACTGCGCCTTGTGGTCGGCGTACTCACTCTGATGGACCTCGTTGCCCAGATACTTGGGTATGAATATAGTTGATGAATTACCTCTACTGTGTTATATTCACTTACCTTTGACTGACTGCGCCTTGTGGTCGGCGTACTCGCTCTGATGGACCTCGTTGCCCAGATACTAGGGTATGAATATAGTTGATGAATTACCTCTACTGTGTTATATCCACTTACCTTTGACTGACTGCGCCTTGTGGTCGGCGTACTCGCTCTGATGGACCTCGTTGCCCAGATACTTGGGTATGGTCGCCAGGCAGGTCAGCTCAATGCCGTCCACATGTTCCTCTGTCAGCTGTAGAGTCAGCTGGGCTGTCACCGTGGATGGTACTTGGTCCGTGAACGATCTTATTAATCCTTCGTCAACCTTTATAAGCAAAAGATAATTCAAAAATCGTTTAATTTGTTAGGGAAATCGTACCTAGAGAATTGAAAATATCCCACGACTCTTTCATTGTTTATACATAGTACTAATTAATTATAATGTACTTTTATTCATTTGGTAATAAATGTTTTATATTTACTCAACATTAGCGCTTTGAAAAAACTTAGATACATTAATAAATGGATAATATCCGTTGGGTTGTTCATAGATGAGGGATTTTTTGTTAAAGTAACTTTTAAGTACTTTTTATTTGTTTAAGAACTTTAAATTGACAAAATTTACTCAAGTTCTGAGTACTAGTGCATAAGGTAATACTGTTTTATCGCAGCGCAAGGTTTTCAAATTTTTGACTATGTATGTGATCCAAAAGAGGATTGTAAAATATTGTATATGCATTGTTAATTAAATGTCCAATAACTACTATAAATTTATTTTTTGTTTAGTATTAATTCAAGTGTATATTATTTAATCTAGATCTATGATTATAAATCGGAACAAATTGCTCAGTTTAAAAGATAAACTCAAATAATATTTAATCGCCTCAAAAATTGGGTCTCATATACTTTATAGAGACGTCCTGAATTATAGAAATAGTTTTTAGGTAAAAGGTTATATGAGAATTAGATATGGAAAATCGTTATACATTTTCTTAATTTAAATATAAACCAGTAAATTTAATGTAAGAATCCGTTCATACAAACACCAAATTCAATTTTTGTGTCACTAAATAGTTCCCAAAATAAAACCAGGCATAAGTTTTCATCATGAAGAAAGGTGTGTTGAACTACTCTTATTAGGTTAAATGAATTAGTCGAATTGTGGGTTTAGATGTAACCCAACAACAATTGCCTACAAGTAAGTAGCCAGTAAGAGCCCTATTTTTTTACCAAAATATACCTCAAAGTAGGGTGATTTGTCACTTATTTCTCGTTCATTCCAAAATCCACCCCAAAGCAGAGTAGGTTGTCATTGTTTTCGTTTATCCCATAACTTACCCCAAAGTAAGATGAGTTGTCACCATTTCCCCATTTCTCCCATATTCTCCCCCAATGTAGGGTGAGTTGCTGCCATTTCTCCCATATTCTCCCCCAATGTAGGGTGAGTTTCTGCCATTTCTCCCATATTCTCCCCCAATGTAGGGTTAGTTGCCGCCATTTCCCCATTTCTCCCATATTCTCTCCCAATGTAGGGTGAGTTGCTGCCATTTCTCCCATATTCTCCCCCAATGTAGGGTGAGTTGCTGCAATTTCTCCCCCAATGTAGGGTTAGTTGCCGCCATTTCTCCCATATTCTCCCCCAATGTAGGGTGAGTTGCTGCCATTTCTCCCATATTCTCCCCCAATGTAGGGTTATTTGCCGCCATTTCCCCATTTCTCCCATATTCTATCCCAATGTAGGGTGAGTTGCTGTCATTTCTCCCCCAATTTAGGGTTATTTGCCACCATTTCCCCATTTCTTCCATATTCTCCCCCAATGTAGAATGAGTTGCCGCCATTTCCCTATTTATCCTATGTTCTACTTAAATGTAGGGTGAGTTGTTACTTACCATTTCCCCATTTTCCACTCCCAAGTAGGGTGAGTTCACAAAATTTTCCCTTTTATCCTATATTCTATCCCAAAGTAATGTGAATCGTCACCTTTCTCCTTTTTATCCCATACTTTACCCCAAAGTAGGGTGAATCGTCGCCTTTCTCCCTTTTATCCTATATTTTACTCCAAATTAGCGTAAGTTGTCACCTTTTTCCCATTTATCAGCCACGTGACGTCAGGGGTGGGTCTAGCAGAGGCGGAAGTACAGTTGACCTGTAGCCAGTCACCTACGCTGTACTCGGGCTTGCGAAACGTTATCCGTGGCTCCTCCATTTGGTTTTCTAAAAAAATCTCCACATAAGATTTTATTGTATTTGTGTTCCATTTTTATAAGTAATAGTATAAATATTGCGATGCACCGTTCAATTCCGTTAAAGACAATAAATGAATATGACATGTATGGATTTTTATATTAAAGGAAACTCTTAACAAGCAATGGTGTCACGTGTAATAAATATATTTTAAACATGTCTTTTACTTTAATATCTTGAAAAATTACTAGCACAACATATGAAAAGTTCTAATTTAATTTAAGGTTAATTTTAAATAGTCTAATGCATATTTTGATATATGATCTATGTAGGCCTACATCCTACAATTTTTTAGAAACCTACGGTAAATACCTACGGTAAATAAGTTCAGAGTCTTTAAATAATAAACCATTTTATTATGAATTCACGATTTCTAAAAGGTGTCTTTGATCTGTTACTGAGTGAATTTTTCTTCACCAAAATAGTTTAGACCACGTGGATTCGAGTCAATGATAGAAATGAATTTGATTAAAGAATTTTTTCTAAGATATTTCTATAAACAAGGGAATAGTATTGCATGAAATAGATAAATTCGCCAAATTATATCAAAATGCATCCAAAACCGAGCAAACTACAACAGTTTTTCTCAATAAGAATAGCGTAAGAATTTTAAATGCGCAGTTTTTTTTCAGTAACAGTTAAGTAACTGTTGTTAGTTATAATTAATTATAATTATTTGTATAATAATACAAACAATGGTTCCAAAGCAACATAGATAGTGTTTCAGTTCTACACGATGGCTTTAATAAAAATTACCCTTAAGTAAAAAAATCGGGAAAACTATTTAAAAAGAGTGTTAGCATACCTTGTGATAGTTAATAAGTGGACTGTATTTTAGGTAAGGATAAAAGAAATAACAGATTGAAAAAATTTTTAAACGGTATTTTATGAAAGCAACATTTAAACTGAGAAATGGACATTGTTAATAATTAAACATCAGCTGGTTACAAATGTATATGAACTAATTGAAATCAAAGAGTGTTTAAAAGAAAAGTAATGGCTGATTATAATAATTATTACTGAACACATACATACAATTTGAACGAATCGTTATTTGGCCTCAGGGGACATCAAAATGAAAAAGTAAATCCGTACCGGGTCTTTGCGTGCCGCCTACGGTAATTACTTCTTCCCTATACTGTATAGGAAAATGTACTAAAATGATCACATTAATTCGATTTATAAAATGTTTCCGAAAAAACTCATAACATAACAACAAACACTTTTAACAGAGGTGAATGTTGAAACATTTATTTATAAAGATTTTAACTATAATCTAAATCAATTTTTAGATATATAGGACGATAATGTACAAGTTAATTAAGGTGGCTCGTGAGAGATACTGTAACAAGCAAAAAGCGCGTGTGGCGCTTAAGCAAACGCAGCCAGGTGCTTTTACATTAAAAGCATTTTACTGCAAACATTTGCATTTAACCAATTTACCAGTAAAGTGGGTTTTAATCTAGGGATAAGCTGGAGCTTTGAAAAACTAATTTATTCACCAGCTTAAACTCGCTTATGAAAAACTTCTGATGAATAAATTGAGTGTGGTTGGAATGAAACCAAAAGAGGAGAAAATAGGATCATTTTTTGTATTTTGTTAGTCAAGGCTATTAAATCTATCACCTTTATGGTTAGTCGATTCTACAACAATGTGGTCACATGAACGTTAGTTGATTCTATTGTAGTACTGCATGGATGCGCATTATACAGGAACGATGACATTTGTACCGTTTCACTATTAGGAGATAAGCTTGGTTAAGGCGTATTGTATCCCAAATATTAATGGAAACCAAACTGAGATACAATGTGTAGCTTTGTTACTCTGATGTTTCTTTGTCCGGAATAAAGCACAATGATCTAGGACAGCTGGTAAAAGGTGTCAAACAAAGAAAAGCCTACGTGATCTAAAATTGTCCCTTAATTCATGTTTTTCCCAAAGAATTATTATTATGTGTTAAAATTTGCATGCGATTAATGTATACTTCTGTCATTCGCTCTATTTTTTTAAGTAAAGACGAAATAAATTTTAAAATACAATACAGTTGAATGTTTTTACATTCGTAATGCTACTAATCATAAGAGACTACACTGACAAGGCCCAAGAGAAAGATAGTCCTACCGTGATCGTAAAATATTTCACGATAAACCTAAATTTATCGCTATTCCGTGGGGAGCAATTCCTTACTTAAAACTATTGTTCCAGTTACATTTATTGCTTTATATTTTTATCAATACGTGTAAAAAACGCTTTGACGAGCATTTTGTTAATACACCGGTATTTTTTTTTACTTGTTTCTTATTTTAATAATTTATGGTAGTAAAAAAGTAAAACCATAAATAGTTTATTACCATAAATATCAATATTAGTCTAGACGTTTGAATCGGTAAAGAAACCGGAAGATTCTCTTCGTGTTTGAAGATTTTATGTGAACTTTTCTAAATCTTTTGATCAACCTGTCCGTCTTTCTAAGCATTATGTTGGTCGACCAACCTCTACTTTCTTGGCCCTTAAATAGTAAAAAACCTACCTTTTAACCTCAAAAAACATTAAGATAAAAGAAATACAGCAGCTTGGTTGACGTGTTAACCACATGTTTAATTAAAAAGAATGCCAAGAGACTACACGGGGACGTGACTCTATAGGAGTGTTCTTTGTAAACTCATACAACGCTTTTTACTGTGAGATGTGAGAAGGATCGAGCGTGAGTCATTGCGTAATTCAAATTGATAGAAGTATGTATAAACTTTGGTTAGGAAACTGCATAAAATAGATAATTTTTGAATAAAATAACATACTGTATATAACTGCAGTAACAGCTTAGCTCAACCGTGTAAAAAGCCCGTGAAATCAAGGAATAATTAGAGCGATTTGCGTAATTAGTGACTTGGCTATAGCTCAGGCTTTGTTAACCATGTAAATTCACGACCATCAGCTTAGACTATGGTAGCACATAGCATTGCCATTGTACAATAAAATAGCCAACTATTACAGTGCACGGTAAAAGTTTCTATGTTGGCGGTTTCTACCAATCGTTCTCATGTGATACCTACATCAGTTCTTTAGTTTATTCGAATCGCGCATTTTAGAGCTCATTGTAAGGGTTTTGCTTTACTGTGTGTGCCAGAGGACAAGCTATTATTTAGTTTAGTTACTATATAGTTGGATCGATTTATTTCGATAAACTAAGTTTTAACTGAAATAACAAGAATCAAAATTTAAGCATAAAGGTCGATTCACACATATCAGTTCAGTCACAGTTCCGATACAGTCCAGTTACAGTTCAGTCTCAGTTGCATCCGCATTTTCCCAGTCAATTGTCCGTCAGTTGGTTTCAGTCAGTCTTCCGTCTCTAATATTTACAGTAATTTACAGTCAAAAATGTTAAATTATAAACCTATATTCTGTCAAATTATCATTGTCTATCTTGTTGATTGTTACAAACAGTACTCAAAATATAAACACAACCATTTAAATTACAATAACACTATTTTCTAACCTCAAACAGTTCCGTCAGGCGTCCGAACAATCCAAAAGTATCGGTGGAAAGAAATCTGAAATTAACTGACGGATGCCGGTAGAGCGACTGACGGGACTGCAACTGATAAGTGTAGATAGCGCAATAGAAAATCCATTAAAGAATATTTTTGTTAACTGTGACATGCCTGAAGTGACTGGTCTGTGACGTTCCGTAACTGATGTGTGTGAATCGACCTTAACAAGACCCTACATTAAACGGACGGAACTAATTCTGAAATCGTCTTCAACTGATCCCTAAAAGTAACAAATGTGCAATAAATGTATCTTGAGCTCTCACTGATGACAGTAATCTCCAGCTCCTCGGAAGGCTTGGTGTAGATGATGGGCGTCTCTGTAGATACCTCGCACGTGTAGATGCCGCTGGCGTCGAAGTTGAGGTTCGTCAACAGCACCTGATGTCGGTCACTCAGTGATAACTGTAACCAACATAGACACAATCATGAGCGGGTCCATAGTAGAACCAACTACGGTTATGCCTTTGACTGATACCCCCACCGCAGCAAACCTGCAGACTAAGAAAATTTCAATTTGCCTGATTGGATTTCCACTTAGATCCACTTTAATAACATTAGGTTAAACAAGTTTTGGTTAAATATAGCTTACAGCTTAGTTTACAGGGTCGAAAATGAGAAAACCTTATTTCTATCCCATGGTCCAATCATGCTGGTTCGCGAACTCATTCAAGTACATCACCCCTACACCTTCAAGCCAAATTTAATCAAAATCGGACCAAAATTAGTCAACATATCGCTTTCACGGACACACACATATTTATATATAAATACAGATATACAAATTTGAACAAATTGTGTTTTTGGCCTCTGGGGACATTCAAATGAAAAATCATATTGGTCCCGGGTCGAGCTAGGTCTTACCGTGCCACCTACGGTACATCAACCAAAACAAAAGACTTTAGGTGGCAGAGCTTGTAAAATTTAAACCTATTGTACTCTTATTTCTTTCACATAAATCGCAATTGAAGACTTTAAGGTAGGCAAAGCTTGGCTGAAATGAAAAGTGATTGGGTTCCAATTTCTTTTACATCAACCAAAATTAAAGACTTAAGGTTTCCTTATTTACTTACCGAGGTGAATGCCAACTAACATATACCTTAGTTGTTTCTTTACATTTACTTACATATAGGCTATGCTGGTATGTATGTATATGTAAATGTACATAACCCTTTGGAATTAATTTTAACACTTACTCAAGTTACGGTATAAATATAACGTGACAAAAATGTGACGAGGGCTCAATTTTGACTAACAAGCTCTGGCTTATATAAATTCAAATTTATTTTAAAAACTGAAATCTTGCTACACATTGTAGTCTGCTGTAGAACAAAGAATAATATGACATTAAATTTTGCAAGTTTGTTTAAACCTAATTATGATAATTGTTATATAGGTGGCCATATACTTAAAATCTAGAAGGTTACGGGTATATGAGTCCTATTATACTAAATACTCTATGGTGTTGATGTAATACTCACATCAATGATGGAGCCCAATGTGGTGTAGTTCCTATAGGGAGGGCTGCGACCCTTGACGTACTGCCAGATTTTGCGACCCTGATGGAGCCACTCAACCTTGTGAAGCTCGTCCTCTGAGACGCTGTAGTCACACTTGAGGAGCGCAGAGTTGCCGAAGGACACGTACCTTGGAGCCCTCAACTCTACGTGGAACCCTCTACACCGACACCCTGCAACAGGGGTGATATACGTTGAGTAGATCTATAGATTCAGTTTACATGTTCGTACCTTGGAGCCCTCAACTCTACGTGGAACCCTCTACACTGACACCCTGCAACAAGGGTGATATACGTTGAGTAGATCTATAGATTCAGTTTACATTTTCGTACCTTGGAGCCCTCAACTCTACGTGGAACCCTCTACACCGACACCCTGCAACAGGGGTGATATACGTTGAGTAGATCTATAGATTCAGTTTACATGTTCGTACCTTGGAGCCCTCAACTCTACGTGGAACCCTCTACACTGACACCCTGCAACAAGGGTGATATACGTTGAGTAGATCTATAGATTCAGTTTACATTTTCGTACCTTGGAGCCCTCAACTCTACGTGGAACCCTCTACACCGACACCCTGCAACAGGGGTGATATACGTTGAGTAGATCTATAGATTCAGTTTACATGTTCGTACCTTGGAGCCCTCAACTCTACGTGGAACCCTCTACACCGACACCCTGCAACAGGGGTGATATACGTTGAGTAGATCTATAGATTCAGTTTACAATTTCGTACCTTGGAGCCCTCATAGATTTGTCATCCTTATGGAACAGCTGAAGCCAATTTTACTGTTAGTTCTGTACGTCCAACTGTAGAGGTTGTGGTTAGTTTACAATTTGTTTCTTGTTATTTCAGTTATTTAAAACCTCATTTAACCAAATAAAACGATATAATCATCAACAATAACTGGTCTCCTAGTTATATTACCAAATAGTAAAGCACAAATCATGAAAATAACCCTAAAATAATATAAACAAAATTTCGTTTACCGCAGCGATCAGTGTGGACGTACTTGAACTAGACACAAAAAAACAAGCTTACAAATTTACAATGGGATGAGGAGTCTATGGAACCCTCTACACCGACACCCTGCAACAGGGGGGATATACGTTGAGGAAGCATGTAGATTTATAGATTAATTTTATACATTTTCGTACCTTGGAGCCCCCAAATCCACGTGGACCCATCTACACCCAAACCCTGCAACCATACCTTGGAGCCCTCAACTCTACGTGGAACCCATCGCGGGAGACCAGTCTTTCCATCAGATAAGCTGGTTCTTTTTTTGACCAGTACCATATCTTGAAGCCCTCAACTCTATGTAGAACCCTCTACACCCACACTCTGCAACAGGAGTGATATACGTTGAGGAAGCATATTGATCTATACGTTCAGTTTACATTTTCGTACCTTGGAGCCCTCAACTCTATGTAGAACCCAAAACACCCACACCCTGCAACAGGATAATATGCGTTGAGGAAGCACGTAGATATATACGTTCAGTTTATATTTATATACCTTGGAGCCCTCAACTCTACGTAGGACTCTGTACACCACACCCTGCAACAGAAGTGATATACGTTGAGGAAGCATATTGATCTATACGTTCAGTTTACATTTTCGTACCTTGGAGCCCTCAACTCTATGTAGAACCCTTAACACCCACACCCTGCAACAGGATAATATGCGTTGAGGAAGCACGTAGATATATACGTTCAGTTTATATTTATATACCTTGGAGCCCTCAACTCTACGTAGGAACCTGTACACCACACCCTGCAACAGAAGTGATATACGTTGAGGAAGCATATTGATCTATACGTTCAGTTTACATTTTCGTACCTTGGAGCCCTCAACTCTACGTGGAACCCATCGCGGGAGACCAGCCTTTCCATCAGATAAGCTGGTTCTTTTTTTGACCAGTACCATATCTTGGAGCCCTCAACTCTATGTAGAACCCTTAACACCCACACCCTGCAACAGGATAATATACGTTGAGGAAGCACGTAGATATATACATTCAGTTTATATTTATATACCTTGGAGCCCTCAACTCTATGTAGAACCCTTAACACCCACACCCTGCAACAGAAGTGATATACGTTGAGGAAGCACGTGAATATATACGTTCAGTTTATATTTATATACCTTGGAGCCCTCAACTCTATATAGAACCCTGTACACCACACCATGCAACAGAAGTGATATACGTTGAGGAAGCATGTAGATCTACACGTTCAGTTTACATTTCCATACCTTTGCTTTAATTCGTGAGTTAACTAATTCCATGTGAGTACCAATATTAGACAACGTGGATATGAACTCAGCACAAAGTTTGTTGCCTGTGAATAGCACCTCTTACTTTTATGATGCGTTTCCATAGACCAGACTACCGACACAGAACTCTCACAAATTATCTTTGTCTAATAATACTATTATTTATATTTTTCAACTTATTCAACACCAAGCAATGCTTGGTTTGAAATTTTTTTAACCGTTTTACTTGTCAGCCATGGCAAAGCACTTATGATGTTATGAAAAACCATTACTCTGATTTTACACGATTATGATTTATGATATTACATTGAGTGCTATGGTACGTTTTATACTATCACAAATATTTACTGGTATATATGCATCTGGATTTAGTTAATAAATTTTTAGTTTTCACTTATTTTTTACAGGTTTTAGCGAATTTCCCTATAGGGAAGTAGCTATTACCGTAGGTCTCATGGTAAGACTTAGGCCCGGGACCGATTTACTTTTTCATTTTACTGTCCCCAGAGGCCAAAAACACCATTCGTTCAAATTTTTATATATGTATATATATATATAGGTATATATATATATATATAGATTTATATATATATATATGTGTCCGTGAACACGATAACTTGAGTAATTTTTATCCGATTTTGATGAAATTTGGTTTGAAGGTGTATGGCGGGATAAACTTGAATGAGTTCGCGATCCAGCATGATCGGACCATGGGAACAGGGTTTTATGGGGGGTTTTATGGGGTAAAAATTGGTTTTTCTCACTTCTTACCCTCAAAACACAAAATTTCCCAATTTTTCTCTAAACCTTCTTAAAGAGCTTAAAAAAACAAACAATTCAGTATATCAAAGTGTTTTTGTACGGTTATTGGTTACGGAGAAAACTTAAAAAATGGTAAATTTAAAATTCCCATGTTATTCTTATGGAGAATATTGTAAAATGTTGTAGTTTGCTTGTTTATGGATATATTTTGATCAAATTTGGCAAATTTATTTATTTCATAGTAAGCTATCAATATTTTACTAAAAACACACTACTTTATTAGTTTCCTTGTAGCAGCAAACCTAGGTACTCGTTAAACCTAATCTATGTTATTTAAATAGATCAATTGAAAATCAATTCGGCCAAATGGAAATTCGCTTAGACGGCAGGTTTGCTGCGGCGGGGGTATTTTAATTACGTATAGTGTCTAAGCTATTTCTACGTTCAAAAGTCGTTAGAATCATTTTATAAGTAAAACACAAAAATTTTCTAGATGATTGATATTACATCCTTAATCTTGGTCACAAAAAAGTACGTGTATCTACTTAAATTCACTCTGGAAAATTTTGTGTGTCTATACATCAGCCTTTCTCACTCCATATTTTTAAATAGGGGTTTAAAAGCTTTCACTCCAAGAACATAAGTCAGTTCCACTTATAAATTTAGTTAAAGTGGGAACCACCTACAACCTCATGAAAATAACTGTTTTTTTATACGTCAAAGAAACTGAGTTTAGATTTCAACATAGTAATGTCATCCTAAAGAAGACAACCCTACTACAACATTGACAAAATCATTGTTTAGCTCCGTTTTGAAATAATCAGTAATAATATAGGTAAGAAATTCCATAAAAAAAAGGTTATAGCCGCATTTTTCATAAAACACCATTTCAAACTAGAAATATTTTATATGGTAAATTACCTATGCAAAATTCACCTCCACTCACTTTAGTGGTTGGGTGAATGTCGTCATGGTAACACTAATGACAGTAATATTACTTGCAGTATGAGATAATATGCATTACAGTTGACTACTCATCAACTGTGGAGCGTTGTTTGTAATGACGTTACAATCAGTACAGCTTGTTTGTTAATTAAGTGGATGTGACCCCTGTGATGTTCGTGTAGGAACTATCAGTAATTCATCTCATGGGGTGATATAATAGATGCATTACCTCATTTATTACGAAAGCAATTTATTTCTATCTGATTCTTAGTTTTCAAATCAAATTAATCCAAGAAAAAAATATACTATTATGTACCTTAGGTATTGATTTTGACTACAACTCATATGGGCAACGTGCCCTTCTGCACTTGTATTATTTTGTATTGTATTACACAATCGAAATCTTTTCCAATAATTGAAAACATGTATGAAAATAATCTCATGAACCTATGATGATCTGTCTTGTTATGAAAAAATATTGGCAAAAGTGGTGAAAAACGTAGACACCAAACTGTATAAGATAATTCAATAAGAAATCCTTTTAAGAGTTATTGTAATATTAAGATTTTTCCAATAATTTCGTAATGGAACGTAATATTGCAAAACATGAGATGATGCAAAACAAAATAAATTTTAAAATCAGAAAATTACATTGCAAATACTTCTTTTTGACAAACTCAGTCTCCCTATACTATGTGTTGTCTAAAATACAATTTAAATATTAACAGCTGTTTCATTAAAAAGTAATGAAAACGAGAGGTCGTCCAGTGGTCGAAACTCGACCAAAAATATGTAATGTACTCACTTCTCTATTTTCACCCCACACTGTAAATAAAACATGTGATTGGAGTTTCTTCCATTTGTTTTGATTTTCTGTTTATATTTCGTTGTTATTTCGTAACCAGCATAGCAACGCATAAGATCCATGTTAATTTTTTCAAATTTTCAATCTCATTTTTTGTGCTTATCTTTGAGCCTATTTAAATTTATAAAGGGATTCTGCACACCTACAGGAAAATAGCTTTCCAACGGTATGCGTAGATTTTCCCTACGATGCACACGAGCTGAGAAAAAAGGTTTTAAAGAAACATGCTTGCCTAATAATATATAGATAGATTATCCATATGACGATAATATAAACAAATCTGGAAAGGGAACTTAAAAGGTTTCTGGGGCAGAGCCATAAGGGAATTTACTTCGTTTTTCTTTTGATGGCTCATCTACAGACCGAGACCTTTCTTTTGACACCTCTACCAAGCTTCTACGCCCAGCCGTTCTCACAAATTAGTGAAGACAAAGTTTCCAATTAAATATTTAGATTCTCCATGTTAATCTTATGGGAGAAAATCCAACTTTGAAGAATTGGGAAGATCCTGCCCAAACCAATAAAGATTTCAAAAAATGAAAAACACTTTGCAAAACTACAGATCAGGGCAATTTTTTAAACACTTTAATCATCAAAATCGTTCCAAAAATGAGAGAGGAGTTCTGTCCACAAAAATTGGCTTAGCGTATTATACAGGGTGACAAAAAAGTCTGGAAACGGCTTGATATCTTTTAAACTAAATTCGTTAGAAAATTCAAACTTTTCATAGCAACTTATATGTAAGAAAACTACTTTTTGCAAGCATTACCATTTTTTGACCTTCACCAGGGGACGGCCCATGAGGAGTAGGTACATAATCTTTAATGTAAGCATAGGTTGATATGCACATCATTTTAAAGGTCTGGTCAAGTGGAGTTCATTGCCGGAAACCGCGTCAAAAAAGGTTGATCCGTTACAAAATGGCGGCAGTCCAAAGTTCTTGCGGAATACCTGCAGAGGCCTTAGAATTGGTAAATTACTCATATCAACATTAGCCGGGAAATCTTAAATTCGTTTAAATTTGTTTTGAAGATTGAATACTATTAGTCTACGAGCTAGTTGACTTTAAAATACAGTTTAAGCTCTCAAGCTAATGTTTAATACGAGTATTTACCAATAGTAAGGCCTGTGCAGGTATATTCAACAAGAACTTTGGACAGCCACCATTTTGTAACAGATGAACCTTTTTTGACGCGGTTTCCGGCAATGAACTCCACTTAACCAGACCTTTAAAATGATGTGCATATCAACCTATGCTTACATTAAAGATTATGTACCTACTCCTCATGGGTCGTCCCCTGGTACAGGTAAAAAAATGACAATTCTTGGAAAAAGTAGTTTTTATACATGTAAGTTGATGTGAAAGGGTTGAATTTTCTAACGGATTTAGTTAAAAAGATATTAAACCGTTTCCAGACTTTTTTGTCACACTGTATATATATAGATGTTAAATGGTTCAAATAAAATATTGATATTCACTTTCACTGAATACTCATCATATTTATCAGTTTTATTCGTAACGGCTACGAAGTATGTATTTACACCAATTTAATAAGTTTTTACTATTAACTATTTGTATATCAGACTATTACGGGAGAAAGGAATGTAACATTGCCCTGGTTAGACATTTCAAGAGGGATATAAAAGTGTTAGAGAAGGTCGTAGCGCGTGGACTGAATGTGAGAAACAATCAACAGTAAAAGACACTTCCACAAACTCTGTAGAAAGGATGTTTTATACTGGCTCCTGTGCTTTCTCTTTCTAATTAAACGTTTTTTTCTATGGACAATGAATACAAATTATAACAAAAAAACTCCCATTTATCAGTTAGCTAACAAATTCATTTTTTACTCAGGCTTAAGCATGATAGTTCCCTTAAGAACCTTTTTTTAGAATTTGATATTTTATCAGATGCATTTTTTGTTAAGTTTTTTTACACAAGTGTGTAATCTACTTACATTGAACAATACAAGTAAACTTCTCATTGTATTACAAAATATTAAGTGTTTATAGCCTAAACATTTACACTTGCTTGTAGTCCGCAAAAATTTTGGAGTTTAACTTCTACTGTGGCATGAGTAAAGATAATATGAATTATGTTTACATAGTTAAAGGTTTCCTTGCTCCTTTTTTAGGAAATCAAGGTTTTTTTTACTTAAGCAATTTTCCTATGGATTTGAAAATATCAAATCGAGCAACTTATTACACTAAAGAAAAATTATTTAATTCCCTTCTACTAGCAGTATCCAAGTCATGTTTTTACTCAGATAAATTATTGAATAATTTTGTCATCATGTTTAATGGTATAACCACCATTGAATATATACTGTTATTTACTATAGAGTTCATAGGAGACATAAATATGCTATAGGGTGCAGTATTTTTAATGTTCTTTGAATGTATGATTTACAAGTGGTTAAGGTATTAATAAAACTGTATTTTAATCACACTGTTTGTGTTACTCATAAAACTTAATGTTACACGTAGCTAAAGCTTTTCATAAAGAATATTATGATTACTTCAAAGTAGTAAATCTATTGTCAATGTAATACATTCTGCTATTCCAAACAATTCAAGAATCGACCGATTTTATTTCATTCATGTTGTTTCAAGTATTTGAGGGTCTAAGATTAATTTATGCGTATAAAAGAAAATAGTTCGTAATAACTGTAATCTGAATTTCAAAACTGATATCGTTATTTACATTATTTTTCGATATTTTGGCAAATTCGAATTATATTGTGCAATAAAATAATTTAGTATAAAAGGAATCTGTTCAATTTGGAACCCCCGTAACACAATATCAAAGATGTAATTTTCCCTATTAGAAGATGGTTTTAATCTTAGCAAACCCATAAACCAATAAAAAACCATAAAACCCCATAATCGGATATCCGCCAACACTTGTAATTGTTTCTTTCTTAACAAGTGATAAACGACATTGCGTGTCGCTAGGTTTATGAGGTTAAACATGGCATGCTTAAAGTGTGAATGATTTAACTGCCCCGTAAAGTAAGTTGTTTCGAATTTACAAAATGGCTAACAAGAGCAGGGAAGTTGAATGTGAATATTTTCTTGTATTGGTATATATATACTGGGAGTTTATAAAAGAATGCAGGGATTTTAAACGGCCGTTGCTCGGGGACTATTAAAATATAATTAAACTATTTAAACGTCAAATTAAAGGGAAAAGAACAAAATTGTTCTCATATTATGATAAAATAAGGATTCATTTAATTAGATTAAGACTTTTATCAATCTCATATGAGTGTAAAACTGGCAAAGTCTCTACGCTTAGGGGGATTGGCGGGTTTATCTGATGTCTTAACTGAATTTTGTAGGCACAATTGACTTAATCTTATACGGATAACATCATGAAGTGAAGATTTAGGTATGTTAAACTGAAGATGGTTTTTTTCCGGGCTTCTGATTAAAATGTCATTACTTGTTTTTAGCCGGCCAAGTGAATGTCCTTTCAAAACAATACGGTGCCCCGAAACTCATTAAACCAACGCAACATTTCTTTATTATCAAATAGATTTAAATTGTGTTCAATTTACCAATCAATTTAAACTCTGCGAACCAAAGATTAAACACTGTGGCTTCTATTCTAAACGCGTAAACGTCGTACTGGCTTCCGGCGTCAGGCGTGCGAGTCGCAATGACGGCCTAGAGTTCAAAGTTTCCTCCCTTGCTACACGGGAAACACAATTTTAGCGGAAAGTTATTTAGCTTCTATTTGACGTATAAAACGTTAAGTTACCTTGAATAGTACCTAAGCAATTAACATTTAAAATTCCTGCATTTGTTTGTGGACATGTTCTTTGGGCTAAGACAAACACAAAATGCCGAATAAGTATGGGTCTAAAATGCCCAGATTTCTGTCTGTCGGTCAGTTTGTGATTCGTAAAAACTATTTTATATCTTGGGCATTTTTCAATATAATAGAGATTTCAAAATCGGTATAAATGTGAAGTTTAGAAGGTCAGAAGAGCTTAAAAATTGCCATTCCAATATTTAAAGCCGTTTTAATATGGCGGCCATTTAAAATATTTAATGCAAATTTTCATGAAAACCTTAAATATTAAGAAAACTGTTTTATGGTGAAAAAATATGTAGTGAATTTAAATACAAATCAAATTAGGCCTTGTTTGTTAATCGGCTCACAAACAACCGAGTTATCAGCTTTTTCCACAGTCGGTTACACAATTTAATAGGACTAATAATAAACCTAACTTAAGAGCAGAATGGTAGTACTATAATGTAGTATAAGCCTGGTAATAATTTCTACGATTAGGAGTTCATGTGGTTTTATATAGTTTATATGAACACGTATATATGGAAAGATTTTACCTAGTGCTTCCATTAACTAAAACAGTATTTTAGTATTCACGGTAAAATTAGAAATAACACTTTCAAACTGTGTATGACTGTCTTACGAATGTCAAATTATGTTTTACTTTTATGGTTATTTAGTAAATGAAGTTGCATGTTTTAATGTACAATAAGTGTAGGCCTTCATCGTATTTATATATTTCTCTCTTATATCATGACCCTTAAAGCACTGAACCCTACTGTCATCCTGAAAGGATAAATGAATTGCGCTAGTGGTTTTATTAATTTGTAATTTAATAGAAGTAACATTTAATAACGTGCCGACTATAAAACGTTGATCATGTATATACAGTACATGTGTGTCAATATTAAATTGAAAATCAAATTGTTTGATTAAATTATGTTTTCTTGAAGTAAGATACATGTGGCGGTGAAATTAATTCTAGGGATACCATGAGATGTATTACATAAAGGAAATACAATCGTCTTAAGGGAAATCTGTCCAAACCATTATAATGTGTTTTGAATGTTCGAAAGGTTGAACTCGTCTCTCCCGTAGTGAAGACCAAAAAGGTAACAAGTTATTCCACACCAGTTGCATTTTGAATAGAAAAATTACGAATTACGTTAACGAAGAATTCGTACAAAACCCTAAAATGTATGTGAATATGACATGGATAGGTCCACGTTACTCACCAGTAAGTAGGAAGATCAGTAGGCACAGGCTGGCGGCTCCGAGGGCTGGTTGTACCATGGCGGGTGAACCTACCAAACACAATAAAATATTAAACACCTCATAATCCTATAAAAAATCTAAATATATGCAATATACAAATGTAGATCAGTCACGTTTTTAAAAAGGGCAATGCAAGAAGCATTTAAATAAATAAATAAGGTCTTTATTTCCAAGCGTTCATCAAAGTACAAACTCTGTTTTTCATGACAACTTTGGTCCAATTAAATAAAACAATACAATAGTCTATTCATAAATAAAAAATAAAATTATCTATACGGTTCAAAACATTTCCTTTACACATTTCTTAAACCTATTACAACTGTACTCTTTTAAAGTGGGTGGCAAAGCATTGTACTTTTTTGGGCCAAAGAAACTTCTTCCCCGTTTCCAGTTTTGTCTTTGGCAAGTGCAACAGGCTGTCCTGTCGAGTACTGTGTTCACTTATTTCATGTCTAAATGTGCAATACTAAATGTTATGGGAAGGGGAGGAAACAGGTCCAACACGTAGGAAGTGGTGAAGGAGGTAGTAAAGGCTAACGGTGCATAGTGTGGGAACATTTGTATTTCGTATTAGGTATATCTATAATATATTTATTCATTCATTGCTTTATTAAACACCATGAAACATGATAGCTCCGCTAAACTGGCTTTCATTGCTATGAAAGCAATCCTAGTTACTATATATATAACTCATCCACATACCCAATCATTAGTGGACCTGACAGTTTAATAAAAACTATTACCACTGATACGTAATGATGATAAATCTATGAAGGAATGCGTTTAAACAATGGTAATGCACAATAGAAGATAGTTATCAAATTTTTGTCAATTTTAGGATGAGTAACCGGATGACTAATCTTAAGAGGTACTTATACTATAGTATTCTATATAACAGACTATAAAACTATTGTTCTTTCTAAATCAGTTATTTTACAGGTCAGAGTTTACAGGTAATTTTCTAAAAGGAATTTTCAATCTTGCAATTGCATGAATAATCTAATCGCATATTCGACAACACTTGTAATTGTTTCTTTCTTAACATGTGATAAACGATGTTGCATGCCGCGTGTTGCTGTTTATGAGCTTTAACATGTAATGCTAAATGTGTAAATGGTTTAACCAGCGTAGTATAGGTACATTTACTCATAACACCAAAACAATTAAATTACTGCAAGTAACCATCACATGTACAATTTATGGCATACATAATATGTGTAAAATCATTACTAATAGTGTATACAGTAGCAACTATGTACAAGGCTTTTTGGAGTGCAACGATATTGATCTCGATGAAAGTGCGGATATATTTAAAACCATCCAACTTACTTAAAAGATCTATCAGATAGTACTGTACGTTTATATAGCAAGCGTAATTTATATAGCATACCAGGATATAACCTTTTTACCTCATGCAACGATGAATACAGAGCTGGAGGTGTTTTGTGTTTTGTTGACAAATCAATAGAAAGTAAGGATGTAAAGTTGTCTTTTAACCCAAGATCAGCTGATATCTTATTGCTGGATATAAAAATGAACCAAGTGTATTTTAAGCTAGTATGCCTGTACAGATTACAAAAAATTCCAGAAAACTCATTTTTAATAGATTTATCTCAGCTGATGTTAGAAATAAAAAATAATGCAATATATATTGGTGACATAAATATTAATCTTTTGGAGGAAAGTGCTATATCTGAAAGCTACAATAGTGTCCTAAACAATAATGGGTTTATATCCATAGTTAACTCTCCTACTAGAATTACTCACTTTACAAAAACATTAATAGACCACATGTTTGTAAGAAATAGATATATGCAACAGTTTTCCAGTGGAGTATTCGATTTAGGTATCACTGACCATTGTGTTCTAGGTCTTAAATTTAGATATTTGTCCAATACAAAAACTGTTAACACATGTGATGATAACATAAACCTTAAGAAACAAATACTTGATTTTGATCTTGTAAAAACTAAGCTTAAGAATACTAACTGGGAAGATATTTATTCTGAATTAGATGTAAACAATTGTTTTAGTATTTTTTATGAAAAATTAATGAACGTTGTTAATACTAGTAAAAAAACTGTTCATGTTGACTCTAAACTGAGGAAAGCAAAGTTATCGAGTCCTTGGATTACAAAAAACATTTTTAATCGAATAAAAAGGAGAAGAAAGCTTTATATACTTTCCAAAAAAAGACCATATGACACTGCTTTCAACACCTATTTCAAAAGATTTACAGACAATTTAAAAGTTGACATTGACACAGCAAAAAACTTATATTATTCAAATAAACTTCAAGAATGTAATGGTAATATTGCCCAACAATGGAAAATCATTAATAACTTGACTGGAAATGTAAAAGATAAGAACATTGATAGGATTGAGCTAAACGATGGGACACTGATAACAGAGCCTGGCCTTATCGCCCAGGAAATAAACAACCACCTTGTCTCAATACAGGCTGGACAACCAATCACTTTCCCTGCAGCAATTCTACCTCCTATGTACATCTGTCCACAAACGTTTTTTATAGCACCAACTACAGTGCATGAAATAAAGTCAGTTGTTAGTAATTTAAAGAACAAAAAATCTACTGGCTTTGATGGCATCAGTGTTAGTTTACTTAAACATATAATTGACGAAATATCTCTTGTTTTAGAATACATATTTAATATGAGTTTCAACAAAGGTATTTTTCCAGAGACACTCAAATTAAGTTTAGTTGTACCCATTTTGAAAAAAAATAATTCTTTTAATTTAGAAAATCTCAGACCCATTAGCTTACTTTCAGTTTTTTCTAAAATACTCGAGAAGCTCATGATGATTAGAATTGAAATTTTTTTAAATAAAACACATTTTTTCAGTAATAAGCAGTTTGGTTTTAAGGCAGGTCAACAGAAAGTGCTTTATTGGCAGTAACCGATCACATCTTCCAAGGATTAAACTCAAAACTGAAAACAACAGGTCTATTTATTGATTTTAAAAAAGCTTTTGACATGGTAAATCACAACATTCTTTTAAATAAATTGCAAAACGTAGGAATAAGAGGTACAGCTTTTGAGTGGTTTAAGAGTTTCATCACAAATAGGAGGCAACAAGTAAAAATAAACAATGACTACAGTAATCCTCTCATTGTACAAACGGGTGTGCCCCAAGGGTCAACGACCTCAGGTATTTTATTTTTAGTGTTCATCAACGATTTATTAAATCTACCTTTTAACGGAAATATCTTTGCTTTTGCTGATGACATTGCTCTTTTTTACACACAAAACGATTTGATGTTGATGGAAAATTTAATAAACGATGATCTTTTACTTTTAAGAAATTGGTGTTTGATCAATAGAATGCAGGTAAATGTAAACAAAACCAAATTTGTTAATTTCCACTCAACCGGTTTTGAATTGCCATCTCCTTTAATTTTTCACTCCTCAAATTGCAGTCCACAACTATGTAATTGCCAGCCGTTAGAAAAAGTAAAATCTATAAAATATTTAGGAGTTCTACTCGATGAAAAAGTCACCTTCGAACCTCATATATTAAATCTACATGCTAAGATACGAACACAAATAAGAAAATTTTATTTTTTAAGAAATTTTTGTAACGAATCACTTTTGAGAACATTATACTTTGCACTAATCAACTCAAGATTGCAATATGCCTTGCCATGCTGGGGAGGAACTTATAAAACCTTGATAAATAGATTAAGAACAACACAAAACTTTTTTATGCGGATAATTTTGAAACAACCTAAAAGAACAAGTTCATTTCCACTCTACCAACAGTTAAAAATTTTGCCCATACAGCACCTTTTTGTTTTCAAAGTTCTTAGACTGTTTTTTGTTCGAAGTGGAAACAGAGTTAACGTCATACCAAATATTACACACACATACATAACAAGAAGCATTACCAATAATACTCTGAAACTACCCAAAGTAAATAAAGCTATTTTTCGTCACTCTTTTCAATATCTAGGTCCAAAATACTATAATTATCTACCACTTCAAATAAAGAATAGTTTAAATTTAAAGCATTTTAGCAAAGCAACGATAATTTGGCTTTCTTCTCAGCAGGACATAAATTATATCAATAATATCCTGTTGTAATAACTTTCATTCTTTATTAAAACAGTTCTTGTTTTGTCCATCAGATGCACAGTTCAGGCGGAATTCAATGTTTTATAACAGATGCTAGACCATAAATTACAACGTCATGTTAGCCGATAAGTTAGTTTAAGCAAACTGGTTACACTACTGGATCAAGTAGCCAGTTCTATTTCTCTACATCTCATGTATTGTTATATTGTGGTTTTTTGTGGGAAATAAACTTCATTATTCATTATTCATTATTCATTATTCACGTTTTCTTTTAAAACTATTTTATTAAGATAATGTAATTTAATGAAGCAAATCATGTTGCTAAATGTCAACCAATATAAACGTTAGTTTACTCAAATCCGAGTAGAAATATTTATCAACTATACTACCATTTTCTCTGGTGGTATCTATATATTAATAGGCAAAAGTGTTTCTTTAAAACTTTTTCTCAGCTCGTGTGCATTGCGGGGAAAATCTACGCATACTAAATGAAAATATTTGCCGGTAGATGTTCAGAATCCATTTATAAAATTAAAATAGACAAAAAAATTAGCATAAAAGATTAATTTAAAATAAAAAGATTATATGGGCCTTACGGGTTGCCATGCTGGTGACGAAATAACAAATAAATATAAACAGAAAATTAAAAAAAAATTGGAAGAAATTCCAATCACATGTTTTGTTTACAGCGTGGGGTGAAAATAGAGTAGTTTGCACAATACATATTTTGGTCAAGTATTCGAACCAAAGGCGACCACTAATCTATTTAAACATAAAGAATTTTCTACGCTTTTCCGTGAAGTAAATCGTCGCATCAATGTAGAGCAAAATATTAAAACCACCTGCTTAATAGTTTTAAGCTTTGTACCATTGGAAGTTAATTTTTTGTACAATTTGCCAAGATTCCTAATGAGTAAACTTGCATTGGTTGGCTA